AGCAGGAGCAGTAATATAAACGGGCGTATAGATGGAGGGAAGGAGCGAGAATAAAGTAGGGCGTTTCGGGGATTTAAATATACTGTACTTATAATAAGGGGTCGAAGTGGAAGGAATGTTTGGACTTGGCAACATGGATGAAGTGCTGGGAGTACTGGGACTAGGAGAGGATGAACGATCATAGGTTGGTATTATATTGGTGGACGCTTCTGCGGTTATGCTTGGCGACGGATACAATTCTGTCTTAACTCGAACCCAGGTGAAAAAGTGGTGCCTGCCATCTGACACCACCAAAAAATAGGGAAACTGCTCTATATTCTCGGACACGAACTTATAAATTACATTATAATATTTCGGAAATTTCCTGTCTATGTCCGGAATCATACTGTAGAGTAGCAGTTTCCCTATTTTGGAAGTCGGTTGCATCACTGTCCTTGTCACTTCATTTGCGGATATTATTATGTCTCTGCTTTCGTTCTAATATTTCAGTGATTCCTTTCTTGCCTGCTTCTACTTTGGGGATTTTTGATTCCGAACACTTTTTTCGTGATACCTCGGCAACTCTTTTTTTATTTTTTTTTTTTATTTTTCATCCCAAATGCCGAAGGGCCAGCAGATAGCCCAATAGCTGCACTCACAGATGTGCCTGGTTTGTCAATTTCTAAATACTTTCTTGCTAATATTTCAGTGATTTCATTCTTGCCTGCTTCTACTTCGGGCTTAGCTTTCGTCAGCTGAGATTCCAGATACTTCAGGGACTGAGTTACGTGATCATACATTGCTTCTGACGAATTGACCTAGATATTTCTTCCTTCAATTTTGTGTAGCAGTTACAAGAAATATTTTACAGCGTGACTCATGATTGCTTTTTAGATTTAATCCAGGGGAGTAAAGCAAATAAAGATTTTGAAAATATGGATAATTATCGTGATACAAACCTGTTAATCAGCATTTGTTAAAATGCCGCCAAAGCCAGTAGCGTGCCGTGCCTTGTAGGTCAGGGGGAGAAAAACATTTTGGGGGTGCGCGGGCGGATAGTGGGTCGAAGGAATCCTGTTTTTTCAAAAACATATTCTCTATATCAGCTTAAGTTATATATTTTTTATTTTAAGTAATAATTAAATGAAAATATCAATCAAAATAACATAAAAGAAAATTTATTTTTCGACAAGTAGGTAAAAAAAATAATCTACAATATCAATCTTCGAGTTTTGATAGTTTTAAACTTATCTGGTAAGGATTATAGATCCAAAAAGTCTTATTTGTCTGATTCGGTAGACAATAGTGATAAACTATTTAAACGGTTTTCCGTCATAGTTGTCCTAGTATGTTTTTATTTGCTTAAGTCTTAAAATCTTTCCACATTGGCACTACTAACACCTAAAGTTAAATAAATTCTTAACAATTTCGAAATGTTAGGATAAATGATACGTATTCACACCCATTAAAAGTTCAGTTTAGGTGAGAAGAAAACCACATGCACACATCCTTGAAGGTGACGTCATTTCGTTGGCCTTGTGAAAAACCCTGAGTACGTCTACCTTGTGAGACGTAAGGTTCAATACATAAGTAGGGAAAGGGGGGAGTTTTGGGAAGATTTTCTTATAAAAGAAGCTTCATACATGTAGTAATCAGTTGCATTTTAAGATTATAAAGAAATTTCTGTGTGTGGTGTTGTGTTTTCATAATTTAATTTGTTCAAGGTAATTTTTCTCAAGTCTCTCTATTACATATCATTTTTCTCAATAATGAGTTTATCAAAACAAACCGTAGATGAACTTAACCAAGATGTTGAATTTGTTGAGCGAAGGGCCATAACATCTTAAACAATTGGAAAAGTTTACATCAATAAAAAAATGGTTTTCACGTTTCGGTAGAACTATTTTAGCCACGTTATATGACAAAACAAATAATGAAACCTCTCAATCATTTCTACCAGAACGTGTCACAGAATCTCTTGCAGAGGATACCATAGCGAGCATTATTAAGTTATGTGATAGATATAGATTTCGTATATCAGATATTTGGCAGTGCAACTCAAAACAATGTCTGAGGACATTCTAGTGCTAGCTGATCAATTTGAAGGTGATGCTTTGAATTACAAAAAATTTCTTGATGACTCAACCAATTTATGTAACGGAGCACTTATATGCGAGAAATATGTTTTTGGCTACATCAACCTGGATTCATTTCTCGAGGAAATACTGGATGAGGGCTTCAAGGATTTTGTTGTGCAAGTTCCACACATCCCAAATGCTCTTGCTGAGGAGCACAGGCTATATGAAGACTTAGGAAATGATACAGTTGGTGAAGAATTATCCCAACAATGTTGATAATAAGATATTACCATAAAAAAGCACACCTACTTTCAAGCATAGTTTTAACACATCAAATTCTGGCTTGTAAACAAAATCTATCTATCGTAAATCTTCGTATGAAGCAACAGAATTCTCTTCATCTGAATCGCTACGATCAAGAATACCCTTTCACTACTGACGTATAGGTGTAAAAAAGTTACTTGAAAAATCTGATTCCATCTTTTTTTTTTCAAGGTGAGTGTATCAGACTGTAGAACATTTTATAGTTTTTGTGTCTCTAAGGATTGAGACAGAATTGAGAGGTTTTGTTATCGGTTCATACATCTTCTCTAGCATCAACTTGTCATCTGCTTACATGGCTTTAATTTCCCTGAACTTCTTTCTCACGGCTTCGGTTGCTTCTATCAACTAATTTTTTATTTTTTGGTCTTAAATATTTTCTTAGAGATTATCATCTGATTGAGAGTTGGCAACGCTTTGTAAAAATTATATGAAAATTATTTTGGCATTCGCATAGGGTGCACTAATAGTATAATGAACGCTCAAAAACCAATAGCAATTGTAAAACCCTACTCAATCAATAAAAAGCGGATTTTTATGTTGTGTAGAGGAAGATCAGTTGAGATAAATCAATTGGGTTTTTGTGAAAGGTGTGAAAATCCCTTAGTGAAGAATTTGGTGCAAATTACACGAAATGTGTTTGAGGCACAAAATTTTGCGGCTGCTCCCAGATCTATAGTTTTACGTAGATGCAAATCCATAGCAGTGAGGGTAGTAAGAGAGAGATTTAGTGAACCTAATAAAGGGAGACGTGAGCATGTGAAAAAGTTTTTGGAGTACGCGTTGAGACATTATTATGTCAACTAATTGACGGATGATGGGTTTTTTCTTTGAAATTTGGCTTTTCCCAAACAAAAAAAAAAGTGAATGGGGTGCGAATTTAGAGCTCCGTACATGATTGGCAGCCCTGTGAAAGACTTATTTTTCAATGTACCCAAGTACATTAGTACTTATTACATTGAAGAATAAGTCCAACCGGAAGCTCTTTAAATAAATTTTGTCATATGGACTAAAACAATGTGTTTAAATTTTTATTCTGATCATTATATATATATATATATATATATATATATATATATTTTTTTTTTTTTTCAAATTTACAAAAATTATAGCCTTATTTATCAGGTTGTTGAATCAGATGGACCATCTTCTTCTTCTTCCATTTCTTGTGGCACGTCTGGAACGAACCACCAACTACTGTCAGCTGGTCCGTCATACTCTTCATCTTCTAATTAAAAGTCTTATAATGTGTGTTGTTCATGAAGTAAAGCTAGCTAAGCGAGAGAGAATCATCGTTCACCGGCGGATACGTGATGCACGATGTACAATCAACACCGAAACCTGCGGAGGGCTGATTAATGAATAACACCAGACAGTTTTCTATAGTGATTTATATTAAAGTGGTAATCTGATGTTGCATGAATGGAATATCAAGATTCCTGATGCTTTAGATAGTGCCGATAGGTTGTGACTCCTACTCAGTTATGAGTTGAATAATATGATGGCAGAGGAGTAGCCTAATTATTTTGGACTATGCATTCGTGGAATTTTGTTGTCATATTTTAGAATGATTATATTTTTGTATTCATGTTTGATTTCAAAGTGACTCCATATTTTGTTCAATGGCTTTATTTCAATGATTTTATTGTTTTAGTGTGACCATGTATTGTATTTTAATGAATTTACTATTTCTGGCTTAGTACCGTATGGCCCTGGAATTATTTTTTGGAAACTTTTTTTTCTTTCTTTCGTTTTCCTTTTATACAGCTTCGTCAACGAGAATTATGTTCTTAGATAATAAAGCATTTTTGATTTAGATAAATGGTTGGATTTTCGATTTTCCTAACTGCTGCCCCCAGATCTTTAGTTTTACGTAGATGCAAATCCATAGCAGCGAGGGTGTTCAGAGAGCGATTTACTGGACCTAGATATGAAGGGAGAGGTGAGCGTATGAAAACGTTTTTGGAGAACGCGTTGTTATGTCAACTAATTGACGGATGATGGGTTTTTTCTTTGAAATTTGGTTTTTCCGAACGAAGAAAAGTGAATGGGGCGCGAATTTAGAGCTCAGTACATGACTGGCAGCCCTGTGAAAGACTTATTTTTTAATGTACTTAACATTTTGTTTTTTCATTTGGGAATATATCTATTATCCTTTGCGATTACGGTGATTGGAAAAAACATGGTATGTCGGTTTTACCTAACGAACACACCCTAAAAAAATAAAATCCGAAAAATCGCCCATTCACCAAAAAAAAAAAAAAAAATGGCGTGATCAAAGATGTACTGATTTTTGGGATACTTTGATCATCTATTTGATGTGTAGAGAATATTAAAGTAACCCCATTTAAATAGTTATTGGAGTTTTTTTCAAATTTTCAAATTTCATAATTGAGTTGCTACAAGAGAATACATCAATTGGGGCAACACTGAGCAGAAAAAAACATCACTTTATTAAAGGAAAATTTATTCAAAGAACAATAAATCAAAATACAGCTAGCGTAAGACTAAGAATATGGCTTGTAGTAATAGGAACCAAATAAATATTGCGTCTTCAGTCATATGAAAAGGAATCAAAAGAAAAATTGACTAGGTAAATACCAAAAAAGGAACATTCTTATTTTAAACTTCAACAACTGGAATACTTGTGGCAAATTCGTAATACACTTTCATATCTGGACCAAACTTCGATGTGGGAGTGGCTTGAACTTCAATAACATCTTCGCTTCTGATAACTGAAACATCATCGTCCACAAGTTTAAATTTTGTTTTATTTTTGTCTATGGATTTCATGCCGGTGACAACAATCTCTGGATGAGTTTCCGTTATCTTGCACAAATATTTGTAGTCTTTCTTTCCCCGCTGCGAACAAAATTTTGACATACTGACCAACTTCAAAGACTTGATCAGGTGCTTCTGAGGGCAAATTGCTTCTAGACATCTGTTGTTGGAGCTCTAATAAAGGCATGTCATCTTCGCTATCAAAATCGTTATCCACCACTTCATCAAGGACTGCAATGGTTGAGCTACATCCAGGTTGCGGTCTGACCCCCTCAGCTTCCGCTGTTGCCGTAGATATACTGCAACCGAGTGCAACAGCTAATCTTTTCTTTTTTCTTTGTTGTCGACTTGAATCGTCAAATCTCTGCTCCTTCAGCATAGCCGTAAGTGCACTCTCTCCACTTCAGCTGTAGGATCTTCCCCACCGAATTCACGTGGCAATCTTTTTAAAACTTGTTCGCGATCCAACGGGTAAATACCAGAAGCACAAAATTACTTAATCAAGTTTCGCTTGATCACTGATTTTATGAGCATATCCGATTGTTATCGTGGAGGCTTAGCGTCCATGCAGTTTAGAGTCTTTTTCAAGAGCTTGGCGAATGTGTCTTTGGGAACCGTTGTTAGTCTTAAATTCTGCAACTTCCATTCTGAAAGTGTAGCACGCCAAGCTTCCTTCATTGGCCTGAAAAAACCTACGTCGAGCGGTTGGCAGAGATGGGTGGAGTTTGGAACCAAACAGATGAAATCAATATTATTTTCTGCACATGACTGCAGAACATCGACATCCATATGAGAAGCGAGGTTATCGCCTATAAGAGCCTTTCGGCCCTCTAAACGTTTCGCATGGGGAAGGAAGCAGCTCAGGAACCAATCGCGGAATGTTGCTCCATCTAGCCATCCGCTGACTGTTCGGTTGAACCTGGTGCCCAGGCTGCAACATGGCTTATCACAGCACGGAAGACCTCGTGGGCCATTCTCTTTCCAGTAGTCATATAGATGTAGACTCTTGAAAATCACATACGGAGGCAATAAAGTGCCATCAGCAGACCCGCATATCATCACAGTAGTGCTGCTTTTGGAGTGGTTCATAACCTTCTCTGGATACTTCACCCCACGTCTGTAAACCCCTCGTTTCTTTCCTGGGTAATCTGAAAGGTTTGACTAATCATAGTTGAATATGTTTGAGCTTGCCATCATTCTTATGTCTAAGAGGCTTAAGGGGAAGCCCCAGTCTGTACATTTTGACGCTGCTCTAAGGATTGCTAATTTCTCATCTTTAGTGAAAATTGCTGGGCGACCTGGTCTGTTTATGTGTTTTCCCTTATATTTGTTGTAAAGTGTTCCAAAAGGGATGCCAAACTGTCTTGAAGCCTCTCGAATTGAGCACAGACCTTCCACCACTGAGTGCAATGCCTCCTCTAACTTTTCAGGGGTATAGTTGATGTATTGTCTACTTCCCAGTAGTCTCTTGTGTACACGAGGCATTGCTGCAAAAAAAAGAAAGAGAATTGAGGAAGAATTATATAAAATCTCCTCGTTTGTTTCTCAAAAATATTAAATGGGGCAACATTGATCGCCTGGGGCAACATTGATCATGCGATCAATGATACCCCGCAGCTTGATCAATACCCCGAGAAACAAAAACATTTATGGAAAACTATTTACCAAAATTTTAAATGAATATTCATGAAGTATACTCACTTTTGTGGGTATGAAGTTTCTCAGCTTAAATAAATAATAAAAAACACGTGCAAATAAGATCGAAATGTTTGTGAGTATATCCGTACAGCTCTGACGCTCGGGATTCCTCGACTAGTTGGCACGACTATCGAGCCGGTACGTCGCACAATTTCAAGGTCGTTCTATGAAAGATGGTAGGGCAATTGGGTGTCAGATATTTATGGGAAGTTTCGATCAAAGTATACCCCCTATTTAAAGTATCCCCATATTACTACCCCAAGTACATAAGTAGTTATTACATATAAGAATAAGTTCAACCGGAAGCTCTTTAAATAGATTTTGTCATATGAATTCAAATAATATGTTTAAATTTTTTATTTTGATCAATATACTATATATTTTTTTTATTTTACAGAAATTATAGGCTTATTTTTATCAAGTTGTTGAATCAGCTGGACCATCTTCTTCTTCTGTCATTTCTTGTGGCACATCTGGAACGAACCACCATCTATTGTCAGCTGGTCAGTCATACTTTTCTTCTTGTTGTTGTGGAGGTATGTTCCACCAACTGGAAGAGTCTGGTTTATTGTTGCTCATATTGCCCCTCTTGTTCATTTTCTTGAACGTCTTGATGCTCTGCTCGATCATCTCAATCATTTTCAAAAAAAGTGGTTCATTATCCGGTTCGTTCTAGAAAAAAAAACAAATTCTATACAACAAGGTACCTACATAATACAATTTGCAACAAATTTACCTCAACGAGTACAGATCTAACGTCCGATATCTTAACAAATTCGAGGCCATTACCATAATGCTGCTCATCGTCGGATGTTAGGTCAATGACGATGATATCTTGTTTTCGGTTTTCCATTTGTTGGGAATTTGATGATGGTGAATCCAAATGGACGATGCTTGTCTCATACTCTTCCAATTTCAGAGGTTCGTCTTCATCTCCCTTAAGAGGTTTCATTCTATTTCATCGGAAATTATTGGGTTTTGAAAATTCAGTATTATCTTGCATGCTCAAGTCAACTTCATCGACAAACTATCCTCACATCATCAGATAATATATCCTCTACAGGAATTGACAGACCGAAAAAAAAAGTTAAATGGTTTTCAGGGTACAATTTTCTATTAAGTCTTGCGAGAAGTTTTGAAAATATTTTTATCTCGAGGTTTAAATCATGCTCATAGATATGGGTACTTGTCACACAAAACCCTTGACAAAAAGTGGAGCAAAAAGCATAAACAATTTATAAGTTAACTATATATTTTTAATCTTACTGCCATGCTCATGGATGATGGATTCTGAGCCTATATTCTCTGTTGATCCCGAAGCCTCCAACAGTTGGGTCCATTGGTTTCGAGCATCGATACCAATAGTTTTCGATGTACTGAATGAGGTTTTCTTCTTTTTGGAAACTTTGAATTCCTTCATCAAATCATAAATATTGCTACATGAAGTATCCTTCTCTGTAGAGATTACTTCTAGTCCTGACCTATAATTACATTAAAATTTAGATTGAAATAAATATACTCTTACCTAATAAAAGGAAGAAGTAATAGGTATATTTTCAGAATATTGTTATATTTTAAGTGGGTGAGTACACTAACTTGTCTTTTAAGATTCTAAACATTTCCAGCCACAGTTTTATTAACCTCTCCAAATGTTCCCTCAGTGTTCTTATGACGAATGTTTTTCCAGTTAAACTGGAAACATTTTCTTGAATAACTTGCCATAACGCAGGATTCTTAAATGGATTATGAGATAATACTTCCCGTAACAGCACCAAATCGTCATGGTCAGAAAAGCGTTGACGTTTCTTCAGAGCTTCCATGGTGTAAAGTGTAAAAAGGCTTGGCAAAATAACAGTGAAACAGTGTACAAGAAGCGACTTCAAAGAAGGTATATTGCAAACTGAACCCACAAAATTTAAATTGGCACCCTCTCAGGTAAAAAAAAATACCTGGAGTACCTTTTTCTTTTGACACAGCATCATAATAAAAACCGTTAAACGGTGTATTTTGTCTATACTCGGGTCGTCACGTCGGGGTCCCTGTGGTGGTACCGTATTCAGGATGTTTTTCTTAGGCTTAGCTAACAACGGTTATTTTCAACTTTTTCTTTGGAAAAATAAAAATAAGCAATAATGATAAAAATAGTGTACTCACCCACATATCTTTTTATTATTAAACTTGAGCCTACTTTGCATTTCACTAATCCTAACCTAACCCAAACCATTTACCTTAACCTAATGAAACAGAAAACTTATTATGGTGGGGGCCCTAAAAATCGCTGGTGAAACCCAACAACTGCTGTTGTAATACTGTCGCACATAACTGCTCGCGGGTCCTTTTTTTAAAAACTTCTTTGAGGAGTTATTTGTACTCCTTGCCTCTTCAGAACCCTGGTTGGTGGGGTGGGACCCAATGCTGGGGACGTACCCTCCGTTGGTGTCCCCGGTGGTGAAAAAAAATCCTTCACTTCCGAGGAACCTGGAGTAGTGGTAGGCTCTGCGGCCTGGGGAGCTTGAGAACTTACTTGAGAAGCTTCGACTATCCAAACACTGCTGGAAGCTACTCCAGACGCTGCTGGGCTGAGAAGCAGTGCTCGTTGAGGCTACTGCCAGGGTTGGCATGTTGGATGTTGTTCTATAATTCCACAATACAATCAAACATATTGTCAGAATAGGTGTAAAACTACTCACTTCCTGGTCGACAAAAACGGGTCTAGAAACCCCATGGCATCGAAATGGGGCCAATCGATCTCATAGGCGCCAGCCCCTGACGGCATCAGCTTAATTTCTTTTTTGAGCTTTGTGTATTTTGCCCTCAGAACAACAAATCGCGCGCTACACTCTTCAGCTGTAACAAAATATATTTTTTACCAATTCACTTGTATTAAATAATATTTAACTTACGGGTGGCGTCCATGATCTCCCCTATTGTGATCCATGCGGCCTCCTTCGCCGTTTTTGATCGAAAGCGTGGATCTTTTTTGTTGAATAAGGCCGGAAACCGGGAGACTTGCTCAATCTGGAGTCCGTCATCCATTATTGAGTTGATTAATTCAATTCGTTTCTCACAAAAAATGCCCAAAACTACGGCCCTAAGCTTCACTTATTAAAAAAAAAAACACGTGACAAATCTACTAAACAAAACGCAGCGAAAGCAAAATACAAAATGAAGCCGGATCACGTCACGGGCCGACATCAAAATGACACAGTTGACAGAAGACACGCTGTCATTTTCAAGCAGCTGATTAGTTACAAATTATTTCTTATGTCATGTTATTTCCTGTATAAACGCCACAAAATTCTTATTTCTTATATTATGTTATGTCTTATTTTATCTTATTTCTTATGTTATGTTATGTGCTGTATAAACCCACCTATAGACTTTTCCAAATAATTACTTTTTTTGAAATAAAAAATTGATCAATTAATAATGGAGATACGAATTCTTCAAAAATTGCTCCATCCGCGATCATGACGTGGCCGTTTTTCGGAAAAAAATAATTTACAGAAATGCCAACATACCATTAGATAATCTAGTAGTCCCATATTTTCATTAAATAATGCATTTTCAAATTTAGCACGAGATCGAAGCGAGCGGCCGTTTTTGAACCCTATGATAATAGACTATCTTGTGGAGTTCTGTTATTGGTTTAGTATGCATTTCCAGGAAATTCAGGATGTATATTCTCCTTGTTGGTACAGGTCTCGGTTAAGTTATTTGCATTATCCAAAGTTTTATTCGAGACATTATGATAATTTATTTCAATACAGGGATTTCTTTCAAATTCTTCTATTATTACATCATTAGCTGAAAACAAAAAGAAGTGTAGTGTAAAAATGGAGAATAAGAATAGAAGATTAAAAGTTAGAAAAAATATATATTTTTTCTCTGTAGATTGTAGATAATACTAATATGCTGTGCTAATACATTATTATGGTATAGGTATATATAACATCAAGTCTCAATGACAAAAAAAAAATGACCCTCTTCAGGTAAGGTCGGTATTTGGAAATTGAATTTAAAAAAAAAACCCTGTGCTTAGCTACTTTTATATTAAGAGGCAGGGGGGTTCAACTTTAACCCCCTTGTTAGCTGGTATAATATAAAAAAAAAAACTAACTTACCACACAATGCTACATTTTCCCTTTCAAACAAGGTTCCATTTGTTAAGTTTATTAAAGCCCGTTCTCTACAATTTAAGCCCTTTTGATGAGAAGATTCAGTTGAATTAAAGTAATTAAATTGAAGTCAGAGACTCACTCATTTTCGGAAAAATATAGTAACTCCGCTACACACCCTCTCTTCTTCGGAAAAAATATTTAAAATTAACTACAATTTGAATTAAATTTTTTTTTATCCGGCATAGGGACCCCTAAATTCTGAAATAAAAATAAAATATAAATAATAAAAAAACTTAACAATAATCGATTATATAAAAAAAATAAAGAGCAAGGAGGGAGAAGAAGAGAAAAAAAATCCACTGCAGCTTATCCTCGAAGCTTCCGAAGATTGACCGATCTGATTTAACGATCGGCTCTACTGGTGGCGACGGTACGGACATCCGCAATAGCGGCACGGTCTCTATGCCCGGGAATGCTGAAAGCTGACGGACCTCTCGGTTGGTGGGCCGGTTACGGGCTGGCGGGGAGGAGATACCCTTCTATCCTGACAACGGCACTCTCGGGATAGTACACCCACGCGTCCGCATTGGGAGCATAATTTTATGGGTATGCCGTTGCAAGAATCTCGGTGGTGACCGCGTTTGCCGCACCTCCAACACATATCCCTATGGATGGGCAGAAAGACCGGTCCCGGGCGGCGAAGAGTGCTGCGGCTGACGGTCGGCAGACGGATGGTGTAGACGGACGGAGCCTCTGGAGAATCTCCGGTCTGAACAAAAACCCCTTCGACTTCGGGGAGGGCCTCTCCGGAAGCAGACTTCCGTGATGGTATGTCCTTTACGTCCACGTCCAGAAAGCCTTCGAGCTCGAGGAGTAGACAGCATGCCTCGGAGGATGTTGATGAGGGCATGGTGAAAGTAAAGGTTTAGGTTTCGCTCAGAAAGAAAGAACAGGTTAAGTATGGATGTTATATCAGCTTGTTCGTTATATCTTTTTTTACTAGTAGAAGAAGTAACAGAGACGGTGGTAAAGTAAAAGAACTTTATTCAATGGAAATCACAGCCCCAAAAAGGAAAGAAAAGAAAACAAAACTCTAAGTAACACAAAAAAAAAAAAAAACTAAATAAAACCAAAATAAATATCCCAAAATCTCTCCCAACAAAAACATAGGCATGAACAAAATAAATAAATGTTCCTATCAGTTTTAACAACTCGGTATTTCGGTCGCCGACGGTATCGTCGCGAAAACCGTTCTGCCCTCTGATGTTAGAAATCGGCGAGGGTACCGGGCCTTAGGGGATATGTGATGTGGCCTGTATCTGGCCAAAGCGGCAAGTAGCCCCTTGGGGCGGGTTGTCGGGTCTGAATACCGAGTGAGGGCATTCCCGAAAGAAATCTCCGTGTTGAACCCTTTGTCCGATACTGTGTCCGTCACCTCGACTTTTGGTACCACCTCGACCTCTGGAACCACTTCGGCTTCTGACGCCGCTCGAGGTGGTGGCGGTCTCCATGGCCAAAGGAACAGGGCCCGTTGGAAATGCCATGGACCTCAGACTCTCCATCATCTCCGCCACGAAGTTGCGGATCTCGGTCAGATCCGGGGCGGTATTTGGGGTGGCATTGGTGAGTGGTGCTACCACCCCAGTAGTCGAGCTACTGCTCGAACTCTTGCTGGCAGTGGCGAGTGAAAGTGGAGCCACCATGTGACCCGTCACCGCTGCTAAATTCTTAGACTGAAGTCTCAACATCAGTATTCTTCAATATGGTTGTAAAACCATTGATCGCACTGGGGTAAATAGTTTGTTGCTAGTACCATAAAGTGGTAAAACTTGTTTTTTTTTTAAAGTATTCTTGGACTCAAATATAACTTTTTCGCATCGGGTAATGACACAGGAACCAAGACTTTCTTATTCTTAATATTAAATTCTGAAAAAAACTGGTTCCCCGACTGACTCGCTACATTTTAGCAATGTACTAACATCGCTCTTCTGGTACAATAAAATACGATATCTGGACAAAGTAAATTTATGTTTTTTTTTTGAGGGATTTTTTACATACATAATTTAGAAGTGACTTTTGCAGTCTAAAAACATACCTTGAGTTACCAGTCTTATTTCAAAATTTTTACTTGCTTTTCTGATGATATTTATGTAATCCCTAGGCAAGTATATTCTATCATATTTTTTTTTTCCGCTTCTATTCTGCCAAATCTACGGTCAAAGGCAAAAAACCATGACATTGAATTGAATTTCCGAGATCTACTAAGGTGAAAAAAAGTTGTACATACATACATTAGTTTTTATTTTGAGAAGCGCAGTTGTCCGAAAATAACTGCATATATCTGACAGAGATGAAGCAAAATTATATTCTGTTCCAAAACACTGCATTTGAACAATTTTTATTAAAAATAAAAGTGAATTTTCAAGTTCTTGTGGCTATAAAATTTTAGAAAAGTCAGGTTTTATCAATTCTCCATTATTATTAGGTAGATTGAGAGTTTTTAAATTTTGTCTACAGACAGAAAGCCATTGAATAGATCGTAAAATCCAGGCAACAATGGTAATTAGTTTATTAAAGTCAGAGTACTTCTGGTTTTATATCTGAAATATCCAGATTAGAAAAATATAGCTCAAAATTTATTTTGCTCCAGGGCCACTCACTCTCCTGTAACTGAAGCCGGTCTGGACCGTGAAACCACAAATCACTCTCAAGTAAAACTTGTGGTGTGCAGCCTCTAGATACTAAGTCTGCAGGGTTCGCATCAGTTTAAACTTGATACCAATCAGATTTATTGCTATTTCGTTAGGAATATATTCACTATTTTTTAAAGCTTTGATTAGATTATTACATCTGCTCTCCACCGAGGAAATAGGATCTTTAGCAATTAGTTTGTAAGTTTTAACATAATTTCAAAGTTCTAAGGATTTATCTAAGTACGCATCTCTGTCCATAGCTACGGTAACATCTCCCTTATCCGATCTGGTTATGATCAAATTTGGGTTATCTTTAAGGAACTTTCTTGTTTCTAGTTCTAGGTTGATAGATAGAAAAGGGACCTGTGTACCTGCATGGACAAAGTTAGTTATAGCATTAGTGATCTGAGATCGAAGTAGATCTTGGCTATCAGGCCTTACGTACTGGATTGCGAATTCCACCTCGGAGATCAATGTGAAAATATCTATGTCGTTATTGGACATTGGTAAGCTGAATTTAGGACCCAAAGCCAAGAAACCTTGTATTTGTTGAGGTATATTTATATTTGATACATTTTTAAACCAAGATTGGTTATCTGTTGTCAAAAGATTCTTTCTCTTGTCCAGCAAAGCCCTAATTTTTTAAATATTACAATTTTTAATTTTATTGAAATGGCTGTTATAATTTTGATTTTGAAAATAAATGAAATCGTTCAACATATAGCCAGGAATAGCATTTTGGAAAATAGTATATAAATTATCTAATTGAGTTTCTAATTTTTTGATATATTTGTTTGTTGTGCAAGTGTTTCCAGTGTTCTAGTGTTATCTTGTGTAATATTTTGTGAAATGTTCCAGAGCTTCTTGACACTCTGGGACAAAAAAGTAGGCGTGACTTGGTTACGTTTGCACTCCAATAAGTAAATCCTTCTATTCCTCTGTGCTGCAAGTCTTCTATTCGTGTTACAATAAGCTTTAAGATCATGGACCACTGGCTCTCCATAAGTGGCTCTACTCGGTCGTGAAAAGTTCCCATCATTTAGTCTACAAGTATGAAAGAGGAGGACAGTAACGGGGTACTGGTAAGAAACAAAGATAAGATTTAATAGATGAGATTCCCCAAAATGCTAGAGGTAGCCAAAGTAAAACGATGTAATGTGCTACTAAGTGTCTGTTTATTCAATTCATCAAGCTTTCGTCTAACATTGCAGACTTCATCAGG